ACATTTATTGTCATTTTGGAAAAAAAAACTAGCCCAAAGTAGCCACCAGGATATCTCCTGTTGGGCATTTCAATTCAGTTTTTTCAGAAAGTATGTTTATGTACAAACAAATATGCTCATGTCCGTCATTTTATTGTTTTTGCAAAACCTTCCGAGAAGCTTTTCAAATCAAATTGAATGTGCAACTGTTCCCTCTGGCTTTAGTTATATTGATATACAGATAACACACACACACACACACACACACACACACACACACACACACACACACACACACACACACACACACACACACACACACACACACACTCACTCTTCCATCAGTGTTCCCTAGTTTCCTTGTTGATATGTCATCGCCATCGGTGTTTCCTTGTTTCCTTGATGTCACGTCCATGTTTCCTATACTACGGGTAAAGTAAACGGTGACGCCAAGCAGCTTCATGGATTCAGCAAGTGATGGTTTTTAGCTGTTTTTGCAATCCTGCAGATGAAAATGTGTGTAGATATAAAAAGCACATGATACAGTTCCCTATGCTTGTCCCTTTAAATCTAAATTACAGGAATGTTTATCAGTCTTTACAACCCTAATAAGAGCACAGAGCGAGGGAAAGATGGGTAGGACTGGTTACTGTTTAACCAGTAACCACACACACACGCACTACAATATCGATCAGTCCAGCAAATGTGAGTACATTTCCTCTCTTGGTAAGGTAACACAGGTAAGAGACGCTTTTGTTAATTCTGTTAATCGTCAAGTTTAGATGTGTTGTGGCCTTCTTAAAGATGAACGTACGTTTTCTGTCCAATCAGAAATGAAACACTGTTCACAGCTAAAAAATAAAATGTGAAATAGAGTGTGTTGTTCTGATCCTTTATTATAAGCAGTAATTTTAACACTTAATAACAGTTCATTTTAGTAATAATTTCCATCCGGCGACATTTAGTTCCTTTATTTAGAAAATTCAGTTAAAACCTTTTCCTTAGATGTCTCTCGTCACGGAACACCATCGTCACGGCAACAACCCCTTCGGAATCCTCAGCAAATGGGGTCGCCACGACGACGGCGAGCAGAAAGTACTGGTCCTGAATGTTCTGTTGCTAGGTGGAAGGCAGAGTGGGAGGAGCTCTGTGGGCAATGCTCTGATTGGTCAGTAGTTTTTATTTAACCCTCACAAGCTAACTCTAGGATCAACACATGTTATGTTACTGTGTTTTACTTATTTCATTTTATGTTTTTATTCTATAAATTAATATTGTTGCTCACTTTGTGCACTCTTTGTTAACTTTTAACACAAAATTGTGTTGCAGGTGGTGAAGAATTCAAAACCGGCACCTGCATTTCTGGCGTTTCCATGACGACGGAGCACCAGCTGCTACGCCGAAATTTCCCACGGTATTTCAGGAGAAAGGGGGCGGAGTCTGACCTCACGTTGAGAGTGTTGGACACGCCCCCTTCGTTTCCCCGCCCTAAGAGCGTGCACGAGCTCTGCCCCGAGGGCGTGCACGTACTTGTGCTTGTCGTGAGAGCTGACATGCATTACAACACACACCTGGAGGAGCACGTGGAGGTACACACACACACGCACACACACACACACGCACGCACACACACACACACACACACGCGCGCACACGCACACGCAAACGCACACGCACGCACACACACACACACACACACACACTCCGTAACGATTATCATGTTTTTTTGTGATTTTTTGTGTTTTGTCGTTCAGACTCTTTTCGGTCCAGAATGGCGTCGTCACGCTTTGCTCGTTATCACACATGCCGATCACCTGAAGGAGGCGGGGCTTCAGCCGTCAGACTACCTAACGCAGACCACCGATTGGCTGAGAGCTCTGGCTGCAAAGGTGGAAGGCGGAGTCTTGTTTGTGGAGAACAGCTGTGATTGGCCGTCAGTCAGAGGACGACCGATAAGAGACCGACTGCTAAACCTCTCAGCGAGGAACCATCACTCAGCGCTGACCGTCCGGACGGAGGTCTCACTTTAAACTACAAACTAATGTTTTTTTGCTTTTAAACTGATTTTGTTTCCGTCTATTTGTCAAGTTATGTGACTGTTGTGAACTTTGTTTGTAGCTTTACGCTAGTTTTGCACTCCTTGGTATTGTGTCATGGTCCTGTTTCTATAAAAGTACTGTTCATTTGTTAAGATTTGGTTGTCACAGATCTTGTATAGTCAAAATTCAATGGAAAACCCGATTTTGGTGAAATCAATCTTGTATATCAGGACCATTTTCTACATACAATTATAAAATACATTTGTTTGTTTTTTGGTTTTCTGGTGGTGAGTTTAGCACCTAATCTTAACAACGAACTGGGAACTGGAAAAAGTCGTCATGTCTTATTCTCTGCTGGCCTTCCTTTCTTCTGGTAAACAAAACACCCATGGAAACAGACTAGTTCAAAATGTTTTAATGAATACACCTTTATACAACCTTTGTGAGCTAACGGTACTAGCTACTTACTAGCTAAGTGGCCGTCAGCAGCAGATTTTTATTGTTTAATTCTCGGCTTTTCACAATAAAAGACCTCTGGTTCACATCACGTCCACAGCATGTATTTTCCTGTATGTTAGGACCCCTTATTTCATCTATTTGATGTTGCAGTTGGTGAGGGAGGGGGCTCGGCAGAGACCCTTTCCTTTCACCTCGAACCCACAGCCTTTATAGTTGGCGACTCCCTTTGAGTCCACCTGCAGGTCGGGCTGAAGAATCTCCCAAAGCCTCTGTTTGGACTGAAGCTCTTTGTCCGGCTCACCTGAACACAGATACAGTCATGACTGTCGGGTCAAGTGATCATATAACCATTTAAAACATATCGTCTTATACTCTGATTGCCTTTTAAGATGGAACTTTATTTATCCCCTTGGGGAAATTCAGGCGTTAATAGCAGCAAAAATAAAGAGATAAAGTGACTATTAAAACAAGATATCACAGTAAAAAGTTGTGCATTTGTATGAACATGTTAAATATATATACAAAAAGACAAAGACATTTAACAAAGACATATGTTTAGGTTTACATTTCAGGAGGGCAAAAGGAAGAGACTGTAAGCAGAACTTCTTTATCCTCTGAGGATGAAGGAGCTCTGTTCCTGCATTTGAGATCGATTTTTGACTTTCTTTATCACTTTATTAAATATAACAATAGAAAAATCATTTATCAGTTTCTCTTAAGAATTTCCTCCATAATGACCACCTGGAAACCAAACCCTCCTCATAAAACACAAAGGTTGAGAGTGAAGTTGGATTTAGTCAAATATTGTGGTTATTAACTGGTATTGCTAACAATGACTAATTCTGTGTTGCATTGGAATTCCGTCAGCTCCAATATCCGACGTCGCAGTACAAATAAAAAAAGATGATGTTTCATTTATTCACTAGTTTCAGTCACTTATACTGTTACAATGTCATGGTTGTTACCAGGGTAGTTGAGGAAGGTGACTCTGTCCCCTGGGTCGGAGCATGTGGGCGGGGTCAGTCGCTCAATGATGTCACCATCAGAGGCGGAGCAAACGAGGAGGCGGGCCTTAGAAGCCACGCCCCTCAGTTTACAGGCCTTCACGTTGCATAGCAACACAGCGAGAACACCCTGCAGCTGAAAAGGATAATAATGTTTTTTATCAAATTATTTTAGCAAAGGTGATTTTAGACAAAAGTCATAACATTTGGGGGGAAATTGTATAGTATTTGAAAAAAGAAATAATCACATTTAGAGAATAAATTCGTAATATTTTCAGAAAGTTAATTTTACCTCCTCGAGGTCTGTTTGAGCTCCCAGCTTGCTGACGACGGTTCGGGGTGCGTCCTCTCCGACGTCCACTTCCTGTACGGACAGCGTCTCGGCCAATGGGTGGGGCCGGACGCTGAGGATCCGTCCGACTCGCAGATCCAGTCGAGACACGTCGACTCGAGGCTCCGCCACCAAAGAGAGAGAGTCAGAAGAAGGACGAGCTAAGAAAAAGACAAGTAAATCAGAATCAGAACCAAAATCCTTCCTTCCTTTCCTCATTTCCTCTTCTTCTCACCTTTCCTGTCTCCTCTCTTCCTCCTGCTTTGTCTGTCTCTCCGGTCCTGGGAGGAGAGGCGAGGAGGATTATTGGGAACAGCAGCTGTTTCTGTGTTGGGGGCGGGGCTTGTAGTCGTTGGAGGCGGGGCCGGGGAGAACAGAACCTTAGCTGCAAAACAAAAGAAAAATATGATAAATGAATTGGATATTTCTTATCTAATGGACTGATCTCCAAGTGATTACGTCTTTATAAAGTTTATATTAGATTAAAAAAAAAGTATTTTTAATCTAATTTAAAAGTGAATGGTAATTATCTGCAGTTGTCCGTGTGTGTCTGTGTGTTTATGTTTGTTTCTTTGTGAGGACCCAGTTGAGTTATAAACCTTGAGTCAGGGCAGATTTCATCATTATTGACATTTTTGGAAAGTTGAGTATCCAAATGAAGAGTGACGACGTTTTAAATAATAACTAAAATATCATGAAAGAAAGGATATTTTGGAGAAATTAGGAACCTATGATTTTAAAGATAGCTTTTGAGTATTGCAAATCGCAAAAGTTTGGAAGGTAACATTTTTGAAGATGGAGAAGAGACAGTAAAGAAAATATAACTAAGGAAAAATATATCACAATAAAATCAAGCAGTACCGGTGCGTCTCTTCTGTTTGTCCTGCAGCTGAGTTTTGAGCTGCTCGATGTCTTTCTTTAGTTTCCCGTTCTCAACCAGCAGCTTCCTCTGATCTCTGACCGACGCCTGAAGCTCTGAAAAAAACACACACACAGGGAGAGACACACACAGTCGTTGGAGACACACACACATATTTATAATAATAAACTAGGTATCAACCAAAAGGGGGCGCAATGCACAAATATTTTGCATTGACAATTTCACAGCATTTTTTTGGTTATGGATATAAACGTTTTGAATATAAGCACATATCTTTTTTCTCTTACGTGCTTTCTCTCTTGACAACATGGCGTGAGTTTGAAAATACTCCACGAAATGCGGCCCGTCCTCTGGATCGAGCTTTATCAGAGCATCTGCCACGCTAAGAGACAACCAAACCAAAGTATTAATAATTTCAAAGCCAGTTGTTTGCATTCATGGGAATAAATACGACTTTGACTCTATCACCGTAGATGTCATGAAGGACAAATTACCTGCAGTTTTAATCAGGAAAAAAGATCTCTCTGATGCAAATATGATAATTCACAATGTAAAGGCTTTAAATTGACTTTATGATGCGCTGCAGTGGTCGTTGTTAAAACACAGACTTCACTGACAGTTTGCAAATCAGCCCGGCATTGGTGTCAACGATTAAATGTTTATTTAGATGATATCTGAGTCATCTACGTTTCTGTCCTTGCCTCAGGACTAAACACACAGAGAGACGGTGAAATGTCAGAAATAATTGATAAGAGGAAGTTTGTTTGGGATTTAACTTTTGTATCAAAACAGAAATGGTTAGGATTTACATACATAAACTCACGTATCTATACAAGTTCATTGTTGAAGGGAACATCCCCCTGTTAAGCCCCGAGCCTGTTTTTCAGGTCTCAGGCTCGAAAATGACATTCCCAGAACAAATGACCATATCTTCCCTTCTAAAAGGGTTAAATTAATAATCTTTTTTCTCAAAGCAAGGTTACACCTGTGAGTTGGATGTAGAAGTGTCAGAATCAATATAGATGCTTTTATTTTAAAGTAAATTCAGATTGAACACAGTAAAAAAATGTAAATTATTGTGTCCGTCCAAAAAACAAAAATTACTTATAGTGAAAACACCCTTGAACTACCTTGAATGATGGGATGGTATACTAAAAGCTTTAGGAATCCAAACTACAACATATAATAAGTACCCTGTATCAAGGTTGATGCAAACCAAGTGAAATTTGACCTTTTTTAGAGAGATTTAGCAACAAAAAAACACTTCTGGGGTCATTTGGGTGGATTTGACCTATCTCTGGCCACCCTTGGTCGATTTTGATGATTGACATCTCTTTTTAACCGTTAGAGCCAATGGAATCGAGGGGAGGTTCCACATACACACACACGTTACCAAATAAGGAGTGCGATTGACGCGTGGCCAAAACCGAAAGCTGCCATAACTTTTAAATAAAAATGGAATTATGGATTATCAATAATTTTTTCAAAGTGACAGACACATTGCATTAACCTATGGATTAACCCTCAGCAGCATTTTTATCGTTTTAATGCCATTGAACGTGACTTTTGATCAGAATAACAGCTACGGTGAGACGATCTCCCATGAATGCTCCGTAAAGCTACGTGTTGTGATGTCTGAGTTTGCTTCCCCTGTTGCGAGTTCGGATCGCTCAGTGATGATACTATACCTATATAATCTGTGGAACCTCAGCTTTAATCGGATATCTTGTATGTGCAGTTACGATAAGTAATAAAGGTATCTTTACCTTGAGTTCTGTGCCAAGTGCGTTAGCATTTTCTCACTCAGGGGTCACTTAGATGCTTCTTATGAGACTTGTGTTTGTTTTGGTAAAAATTGTTCATATCGTCAGTTAGCTGAGTCTCTTCCCGTTAATCTAGTATAACACATTAATAGGTTTTTAAATATTAAGAAGCCCCGAGACACAGTTTCGTGAAAAAAAACCCGCAGCCAAGTTAAGAGATTTTCACGTTTCGGTGTACAACAATAAAATACATATTAGAAACCCACACAGAGCAGTGAGTGTCGTTACCTGAATCTCAGAGGCGGACATGTACACAGCCAGCGTGACCAGGGACAGCACCAGTATGATGTAGGGGAAGGCGTAGTCTGAAACACACAAACTGTCACACACAGCTCAACACACACTACTGAGTATTTGTATTTCCCCTCAGTACTCACAGAGCAGCCCTCCGCCCACCGCCTGCAACACGGTGAGGATGGGGAAGAAGTAGAGAGCAGCGTAGATGCTCTTGAAGCGATCCGATTTGCCCAGTCCACATGCTATCTTCTTCACCAGCAGAGGGCGCAGCAGCATCATCAGCACCAAGCAGAAGGCGTAGTAGATCAACACTATGGTGTAGCTGAGGACCAGAAACACACAATAAACTACAGGGTACATGACAGAAAGCAACAACACAGAGTTTCTATACAATTACTGTTAGGACATAAGTCAAATCAAAGTAAATAAATATCAGATTTTATAGCTAAAAGAAAGGAATTTGCTTTGAAAAAAAGGAAAATAAGAAGCTATGGTACCATGAAATATAAATAAACAGAAAAGTAAGTCAAACAAGGCTTAAAAATATATAGTTTATCAGCATTTCAAGTGGGAGAGATGTGCAGTTTTAAAAGAGATATCTGAATAGCTGAACTTAACACTAAATACAAATGGAGTTACATATCACAGTTTAAACTCTTGAATCTGACCGCAGAGGGGCCAGAGAAACCAGAGCCCTGTCCGCTCTGATTGGTTAGCTGGCTGGTCCTGCTGCCAATCACGCATGATTTGTTGGTACACTAGCCAATAGAAGCGT